TGTGTGTGTGTGTGTGTGTGTTTGCTGGTGACCTTAATTTCTGTTTCTTTTTAACATTTTTTTACTTTTGATGCAATATTCCTAAAAAATGTTTACTAAAATGGTATCGAGATACAAACAGGGACAAGTGAAAAATTGGGAGGAAAATGGAGAGATGGAATGTTACAGAAGAAATACGTGATCCCTGGAATTTGGTTCTTAGTAATGAAGAGAATAAGTTGAAAACTAAAGTGTTTACTTTCTATGTTCCTAGGATAATATGCTTTTTATTATACTATATTTATGAGCTGAGGATAACCTTCTTTCATGAAAATGACAGAACAGTACATATGAGCAAGTACTTCAGACATGAAAAGTGAAACATATCACTGTTTATGTTATCATTTCTGTGACTTGAATTCTTGTTTTCATAAATCAGTATTTCTGAGAACTTTAGAAAGCTGCTTACCTGTTACAGCACTGTTGTTAGAATTGTTCTAGCTGAATGGAGATGCGTATTGAAAACAGTAATTTACTAAAGGTATGACAAATTGTCTGTGGTGATTTAATGCAACAGTGTGAGTTTTAACTTATAAGCACCAAAATTCCAGAAAAGGTCACCTTAGTGGCTTTAAGTGTTGATGCGAGGAGGTCCTCTTTGGTTTTGGCATTCAGGGGTTTGTGGGTACAATTAAATCTGAATTGGATATTTTCTTTTCCCCTAAATACAGTAAAACTTTGGGTTTTCACTAAGTTGGTCTGTGAATATTTCACAAGATGAGGAAACTTGTCTGACAGATTTCAACTTCATAAAACTAATGATGTCTTGCAATATAATTAGTGCATGCTCAAGCATCACATGATCACAACTGCTTCTCCTTTCCAGCTTTGTTATACATTGTTTTGGATCACGAGCAGAAGGAATTATTCTGGAAAACTAGGGTTTCACTATGATTTGGTGTGAGGTGGAAACAGAAAATCTCTATAGAATTTCAGTGTGGGAGTCCAAAAACACTTTGAGGGATACATTTCTCCATAGGTGCCCTTCTCTGAATTTCCACTCAGGGAAAATGTGTAACCACCACCCATGAGGGGACAGTCCTGAGGTGTTCATGGACAGTGCAGGGGAGACAGCACACTAAACACCGTGAGTCCTGAGACTCCTTGACATCAGAATCTGCACTGTTGCCTACAGCTCTGGCTCTAACAAGTAGCAGTCTGGAAGGTGCAACATTCGGCCTAAATGTTTTTCCTATAAAGCGAGGAATGCCACTATTTTCCCCAACACAGCGTGGACACTGAAAATCAGAAACCGGAAGACATCATGAGACCGCCCCACCTGTATGGCTATGCTCTTCAGGCCTTCTAAAAGTAGCTGCATTTTCTCCTGGATCACTTCAGCGTTCCTCAGGAAACTCGAGGGAACCTTCGGCAGGCGAGCAGCTGCAGTCGTGAGCTGGCTCAATGGATCATCCCAGGAGCGCATCAAGCGGATCATCAGGATGATCAAGTCCTTATCCTGAGCAGCCAGGTTGGTGGATACCATAACAGGAGTGAGACACAGCCAGGTTAGTTACACGTGAGCTTCCTCAGAGAGCCTGACCTCAAAACTGCTGTGATGTCCCTGTGTGTGTGGACACTTTTTCTGTAGATCAGAGATGTTCTTAAAACTTACAAGTTATGGCATTGGCCTAAGTACTGCACAGTAAAACAAACAAGTACATGAAATGGACTGATTTAAATGAATACTTTTTCCACAGGATTTCTGATTGATAACAATTTTTCAAATGTATTTTCCTTCTGGACTTCCATATTTTCATTAAAAACCTGCTAACATCCCATTTGAGACAGCAAATCAAGCAAGGAAGATTATACCATAAAAAATAGAGCCTGGATACATTACTGAGGTTTCATAGGTTCGCTCTGCTGTCATCAGAACAGAGGCCAGAGTTACAGCTGGGAGCACCGTGCGGTGACATTGAACAGGACACACACAGTAGGGAGATTTTCAGTGAAGATGAGGGTGGGAGCAAGTGCAGAGTGGAGAAGTTGGCTCTGGAGGACCAGAAACAGAAACAGAAGGGAGTGATGGGAGTGCAAGACAGATGGTGCAGCGCAGGGAGAGTCAGGATTGTGTCCGCCATCCATGCAGGAGTCGCGGTAACCTGCACTAGGATAAGCTGCAGCTGCATTTCTTACATAAAATCCTAGGTGTAGGGTGTTGGTTAAATTGCTATCATCTGCATTTCTAACTTAGAGATCTTGCACAGCGTTCGTTCAGCACTAGGTCTTCCCTGGGGTTTCCAAGTACAGTGTGAGCGTTCTTGGCTGCCCCCTCCCACTTCTCCTCTCTGCAGCCTGCTCTCACTGCTGACCACAGAGCCCTCTAGAGGTTACAGGACTGCCAAGCCAGGCACTGGCTCCTCAGTGCTGGTGGTGCTGGGTGGGGACTCACGTGCATCATCAGGGTCTCGTCCTTTCCTTGTGGAGTAGAGATGGAGGCTGTGTGGCAACTTTTTATATGTGTAAAAAAGAAGTGTGGGTCTTGGACATACCGGACTATCTAGAACCAATGGGAAATCCAGTGAGTTTCGTTTGGGAGTGAAAATAAGAATCCACTCACTTAATTATGTTACATTTAATGGATGTGTACTTGATTCCAAGGCAGCTGTACAAAGTCTGAAAATACAAAGTTAAGACAGTAAACGTTTTACCTATATTTTCCCAAAAATTCCAGAATCTCATTGTTTCCCAGCTACCGTTATGAAAGCCCACCCACTCCATTTTGATATGCCCTTACTTTCTCAGCCTTGTTGTGACCTAGGACGTGGAACACAAGCACAAAAAACAGCAAAGCTACAAAAGGTACCTGTGTGAAGTATCACTTTGCTCTAGCATTTGACCCAAAGGTCGTGATACATATGTGTCTATATTGACCTATTTAATCTCTTGCTTCTCCAGAGTCCAAACTGATAAAATTTCTTATATACATATTAAAAGTATACTTTTCTTTCAATTACTTCTTAATCCACTCACCTCAATCTTACCACCTGATCATGAATTAGAAATACAAGTTTTATTTATTCATTCATTTCTTTATTAATTTCTATTTACTTAGTTTTGGTGGTCAGAATCGAATTCAGGACCTTGTACTTGCCAGGCAGGCACTTCTGCCAGTAAGCTATATGCCCAGCCAAAAATACAAGTTCTTACTGTGAAAAACTTGAATCGTAAAACAAACAAAATATTTTGTAAAATTCCAGATAATACACTGTGATTAAACGGTGATAAATCACAAAGACCATTAATAAGCAAATGTGGAAGTTGAATCTTTTTTCTCTGGTACTGGGAATTGAGCTCAGGACCTTGTGCTTCCCACACAGGTGCTCTATCACTGAGCTAAATCCCCAGCCCTTATGAAAGCTGAATGTTAAGAAGATTTTGAGGAAAACTCAGGGCAAGCTGAAAATGCAAAATGAGAAAACACACATGCATAAATAAACTGTGTAATGCGGTTGTATCACAAACACGGGCCAGTTCTCTCTACAGTCCCTTTGTGCTGTCAGCCCTAACCCACTGTCCACTGCTCTGCTCACCTGTAAGAGATACCTCACACTGTGAAATAGACTTTATCTGGAAGAAAGAACCAGGCTCCACTGCTAAAACACCCCTTCTGTGATCTCCTACACTTGTCATCTTGCATCAGTCCTTCCTTGAGTATTCTGTCTCTGAAAAGTTATTATTTCAGATTCCTTTCTCTCTGACAAGAAAAGAGTTTACTTAAATCTGTTTCATCTACCTAGTCCACTGCTCAGCACTGCCCTCTGTTTGGACATCTGCAGTGGTCCAGTGAAGAATGCTGTGGACGGGCCCTGCAGGGAGGAGGAGGAATCCCCCCCACTTCCTCCGCCCCAACTGAGTGTGATTTACATCAGGAATCTCCGTTTTTAAAAATAAAGTGAGCCGAGGAAAGTTTTCTTTAAGAATCATCACACTTTTGATGTAGATTTCATGAACGTTTCCTTCTTCGATCCTGTGCCACATTTTATTGGTTCCAGGCTTTCTTTTCTCCATTTATCAGTAGTATTTTAAATTTGACACTACACTTAATCTTAGCCAAAGGACAGAGAAGAAGTAGTATTTGAAATATGAGTGATGAGGGTGTTCATGTTTAAATTTTACTGTTAACCCATCATTATTGAGATGGTTCCCTTTGAGAAGAAGGGAAAAGAGAGGTACTTACAAACTGC